GCAAGGCTCTCTCATGTGTCTATGGTCAACTGTGAATTGGCTGGGTGACTTTGCTGATCTGGGCTATAAGCTCATTTGTCTGGAGCTCATTTTTCTTCCCTCCTTTGCAGTTTCCACACGCAAGCTCAGGCTATGAGAACCTGCCTCTTCCCTGGTACTAACAAACTAGGCAGGATTTTGGACAAGACATTTGGATTCTGGGAATTCTACAATTACTGACTTGCACATGGCTTAAAAGTAAAGCAAAAACTCCAGGCTCCCTGCTCCTTCTGTCCCCTAGAACTCCTGCCAGGGGGACTGGGAAGTCACCAAGAGAGCCCTGCCTGGAAGTCACATGGAGAGTCTTACCTCCCCCTGCCTCTGCAGTTTGGAGAACCTTCAGGGGGCTCGAATGGAGTCTCCTCCTCTATAGAATGAGGGTGGAGCCAGCTGATGTTTCTTTCCCTTTAGGACTTTTTAGTTACAGAACCATAACGTCCCTGGCGGAGCTCATGGCTCAGGCTCATTCCGACTCTGGCTTCATGACTTGCTGCGTCTCTCAACTGATTCATTTAACCCGTGAGTTTGGGGACAAATATTGGCTCTTTGTGTGTTGGGAAAATATGATTGAGGAATTAATGAAATGTGGCTCATAAGATCATTATGTTATTGTATAACCCTATATTGCTGTATTAAAGACAGAAATAGGAGTTTGTAGGGTTTTGCCCTGAAGGAATGTGTGGACTCAACGGTTTACTTATTACAGGCTGCTATCATGGGAGAGCTCTCAAATCTCTGATGGGGATGTTTTCCAGGAAGGCTTCCTGGTATCTCAAAATCTGTGAGCTTCCCTGTGTCTCGAAAGACAAGACAAGGCAAATATTGCCCACAGGATGGGAGCCGGAGACAATGAGTGCACTTTACCCAGAGATGCGCCCCAATGGTTATAAACGACCTGTTTCATAGAGATGGGCTTCCTGCTCTCTCTTGTCTGTCTACCTTTAAGTCCATTGTAACTAATCAAAGAAATATTGAGTCACTATACCTCTTTTGTTTTACCTTTGTTAATTGACAACTACCTCTTAAAACTTAGAAGTTGGCCCTTGAAAGACTTTGTACCTGTTTGTTCACCTAGATAGATTAGAAGCCCTGAGAGGACTTTTGACCCTAACCCACTACCTGCATCCCCTAGCAACTGTTTCCCTGATATGCAATATGTTACCGCTGACAACGGATAATTGATGTCTGTGATTATAAAAACTGTATGAATCTAACATATTGCTGGCTTTGATGGGAGATAGGGCCATCCTAGAACTTCCCACTGTGTTATATCTGATCTTTATGTATATAAAACTATAGGCCGGGCGCGGTGGCTCATGCCTGTAATCCTAGCTCTCTGGGAGCCGAGGCGGGCAAGATCCTTTGAGTTCAGGAGTTTGAACCAACCTGAGCAAGAGCGAGACCTGTCTCTACTATAATAGAAAGAAATTAATTGGCCAACTAAGTAGTATATAGAAAAAATTAGCGGTCATGGTGGCGCATGCCTGTATCCAGCTATCGGAGGCTGAGGCAGGAGGATCCTTGAGCCAGGAGTTTGAGTGCTGTGAGCTAGGCTGAGCCACGGCACTCACTCTAGCCTGGGCAACAAAGTGAGACTCGTCTCAAAAAAAAAAAAAAAGAAAGAACTATAAACTATACTTAGTCTCTGTGTATCTTTTATTTCTCTCTGTTTCCTATCATTCCTTATCCTCTGTGGCGACCCTATCTTAGGACTTGGCTCGTGGGAGAAGCAGCTGTCTCCTCACGGCCTGCCTAACTACTCTCCCCACATTTATGGGCAAAATAAAACACCAAACTTTTTTTATATAAAGCACCATATACATACAGTGATGACAAGATAATACCTGTAGTATTAAATTAAATTCATGGGGGTACAGTTAGGAAAAAGTTATAAAGGCTCTTTAGGGATCATAATGAAAAAAGGTTGAGAAACACTTGTGGACACTAAGGTGTGCACCGGTGCCTGACAGGCCTAGGCCAAAAGTGGATGACAGTGTGTCCTCTCTCTAGGAGCTATCAGGACGACCACCCTTCCTGTCTCCACAAACAAGTGCTTGTTCCTTCCTGTAAATCCACTAGACACTCACCCCAGTGGGTTATAGGTGCATCTTGCACATTCAGTGGTCATGGCTTATTTTTTTTTTTTTTTGAGACAGAGTCTCGCTTTGTTGCCTAGGCTAGAATGAGTGCCGTGGCATCAGGCCTAGCTCCAGCAACCTCAAACTCCTGGCTCAAGAGTCCTCCTGCCTCTGCCTCCTAATAGCTGGACTACAGCATGTGCCACCATCCCGGCTAATTTTTTCTATTATATATTTTTGGCCATAATTTCTTTCTATTTATAGTAGAGACAGGGGTCTCGATTGCTCAGGTGGTTTCGACTCCTGACCTCGAGCAATCTGCCCTCGGCCTCCCAGAGAGCTAGGATTACAGGCATGAGCCACGGGCCCTGCCTATGGCTTATTTTTTGGCTTTTCTTCCCTCTAGCTACGGAAGCTGGCTCACAACGTGACAGGTGATTCAAGTTAGAAGCTGGATGTCCTCTCAATGACCTGGTCATGAACATGTTAAAGTCGTCCTTCGCCACCTGTGTCTTGTGTTGGAAGAAGATAAACATGCCGTAATAGTGTAACCCGAAAAAGGGTGGGTCTGTACTTTCACTGCTGAGGGTTTTTCTTCCAGCTTCATAAATGACCCACTTGCTTGGCCAAGCTGGGTTTCTGGGATCCCCTGGATCCTCTGTCATCTTTTCACAGATTCTGCTCACTCCCAATCCCCTCGCCACTGTGCACACGGCGCCAGAGCTCCTGCATTGCCATCTCTCCGCTGGACTCCCGCGATCATCTCATTTCTAACCTTTCATTGTCCTGTTCAAGGCCCTCGGAGTCTGGTTCTGTCGGCTACCTCTTTTGCTACTCTCTGTCCACCAGATGCCCAGCCCGTATGCCTGACCCTGCTGCCAACCCAGCTACTTCAAGTGTTATCCCATTCTCCATTGCAATCTCTTGGATCCCTGCTGGTTCGATGGCTTCTTGAGGCAGAGAATGAGTTATTGTCTTCTCTGTCTCCCGATCTAGCAAAATCCTCGCAGAGTAGGGGTCAACAACAAATGATGTAGAGAAAGATTGTTGAATGAAAGAATATATCCAGGTCAGGTGCGGTGGCTCACGCCTGTAATCCTAGCACTCTGGGAAGCTGAGGCAGGCAGATTGCTCAAGGTCAGGAGTTCGAAACCAGCCTGTGCAAGAGCGAGCCCCATCTCTACTAAAAATAGAAAGAATTAATTGGACAACTAAAATTATAGAAAAATTAGCCAGCATGGTGGCGCATTGCCTTATCCCAGCTACTCGGGAGGTTGAGGCAGGAGGATCACTTGAGCCCAGGAGTTTGAGGTTGCTGTGAGCTAGGCTAATATCATGCACTCTAGCCGGAGCAACAGAGTGAGACTCTGTCTCGAAAGGAAGGAAGGAAGAAAGGAAGGAAGGAAGGGAAGGGAAGGAAGGAGGAAGGAGGAAGGGGAAGGAAGGAAGGAAGGAAGGAATGGGAAGGAAGGAAGAGAAGGAAGAAGGAGAAGGGAAGGGAAGGAAGAAGGAAGGGAAGGGAAGGGAAGGGAAGGGAAGGGAAGGGAAGGGAAGGGAAGGGAAGGAAATATCCAGTTTTATAAAACAATTGTACTTTTAAAAAAACCTTTGAGATTGTAAGTGCAGTTATCTGTGCTTGCTATCTTTTCCTGTTTCAGATGAACTGGGGACATGAAGGAGAAGAATTGGAAAAATTAATCATAAGGTAAACTAAAGAGGCTGCCGGTCTTGACCTTCTTAAGAGGACGGGAGCCACGGCTGATTAACTTGCTTTACGTCATTCCTAAAATAGTCCTACATACCAGATTCAAATTCACATATTTCTCTACCGGGCCTGTCAAGGTCGTTGGCAGTTTCAGGCATACGACTTGCGTTCGTTGTTCAGTAGTCTCTGTCAGGCACCCCAAACTTCCCTGACTACAGTATGCCTTCTGCTAGGCACGTTCACATTTTCCAGTTCATACTTCCTCCTGTATCAGTGAGGGCGATTTTTTGAGAGCAAGGGGCCAGGAAATCATCTTAATCTGGCGCAGAACATGTAAAAACCCCCTGTTAAAGCGGCTAATTTGGAGATGGAAAATTCCCAGTGGTGTGCTGGTGAACTGGGTCTCAAAACAAACCCACGGAAAATCTCCGACATGGTACTCACCACCGTCAGTGGCTCACACTCTGTGGCTGACTGTGAGCTGCCGGCCTGTCATGAGCAACAGCAGAGCTGGAAGAGGTGTGCACAGTTAGCTCCCGACAGCCAGCATGCCACCGAAACCCCGCTCAAACAGTGAGTTTTTGGTAGTCCCACTGCGACAGAGGGTGACTTCCTTTGAGAATTACACTAGGGATATTGTTGAAAACTCTGCACCCCAACCTCAGCTGACATCTATAAGACATACGTAAGAAATTTCCTGTAGATCTTAATTCTAGGAATGTCTTCACTGCACTTAAGGAATCATTATTATTTTTTCCTTATATAAAGGAAAATGAGTGACTGATCTTGTTTCTCCTCTTCCTTTGGATGCCAGGAAACTCAATCCAAAATTATAATTTGACTTATCAACAATGTAGGAAATTATGATTTATTTATCTATATTCCATCAGCTTTATCTATGTCTCCTGTTCTAAATGGTGTTTTCTCTGTTTAATGACCTTTTGGTATGTATATAAATATATATATTCATTCATTCTATATGCCACTTCATATCTTCCGTTACAGAGTATAAATAAACAAGACCCACATTTCTTGAACTTTCCTCTAGAGTCCCATTTTTACTTCCTTGGTGTATACTCTGTATCTTGTTACAATGTATACAAACTGCCCTTAGTGTGTACTCTCCATCTTGTCACAATACTTTAAAGTTGTATTTCTTTTTCTTTGTTCAGGGTAAATATGTGGTCTGTTTTGATCCCCTTGATGGATCTTCCAACATTGATTGCCTTGTGTCCATTGGAACCATTTTTGGCATCTACAAAAAGGTAAAATACGACATATCAAGCACCTGGTTTTAGATCAAAAGAAAAGTTAAAATTGAACATTCCGTCCTATGTCACTATGGTGGAACAGCCAGAATGTATATCATGAAACTCTGTGAAGCTTGAATGGATTTGTATCTCAAGTCCTGAGTTTTGAGTTTTTATTTTAATTTTATCTTTTTATGAGAGTCTGGGTATTGCTCTGTGGCCCAGGGTGCAGTGCAGTGGCACGACCTTAGCTCATATGACCTCGAGTTCCTGAGCTCAAAATACCCTCCTGCCTCATCCTTCCAAGTAGCTAGGACTACAGGTGTGCTATTTTTTAAATTTTTTGTAGAGACAGTGTCTTCCTTTGTTGCCCAGGCTGTTCTTGATCTCCTAACCTCAAGTGATCCTCTCGCTTCAGCCTCCCAAAGCCCTGGGTTTATAAGCACGAGCCACTGTGTCTGGCCTTCAAGTTCTGAGTTTTCAGCCTTAATTGCAGAATGAAGATCCATTAGGTCATTAAAAGAGAATATAATAGTAAATGTGGGTGGGAAGAGAAGGATATTTCACTTTTCAAGCTATGTCTTTCTTTTATGATGAAAAATTAGATTTTAAAAAAGGAGATAGTACAGGGTAGGTACAGTGATGACACTACATGACCTGAGAGTCGTGAGAGTGTGACAACTATAGAGATTATTTATGTCAATATTGTCCTTTAAATCCTCTGAATAAAGGATCTGCAAACTACTAACCCCAGGCCAAATCCAGCTTGTTGCCTAATTAGTATGGCCTGTGAGCAAAGAATAACAATTTTGCATTTTTAAATAGTTAAAAAAAAATCTAAATGATAACATTTAATATTCCATGAAACTTATATAAAATTTAATTTTCACTGTTCACAACTGAAGTTTTGGTCACATTTATTTGTTTACATATTGCCTTTAGTTGATTTTATGCTACATTGTCAAGGTTGAGTAGTTACTATGGAGACTGTATGACCCAAAAAACTTAAAATATTTACTATCTGTCCATTTGTAGAAAAAGTGTGCTGGGCCCTGCTCTGGCTCTGGTGCGGGCCGTGAACCCAGCCTCTGCCCTAGGCCTTCTAACTGCACGACCTGGGCTATCTCCAGAGCTTCTCTCTCCTTGTTTTCTTTAAGTGTGAGAGTGTGTCTGAGACAGACAGACAGACAAACAGACACAGAGCAGGCTCAATTACATAGACAGGTGAGAAACTGAATGAATATCTGTGGATGCATCATAAAACATTATAAGATCTAAAATATGTCCTCTTAGAGTCAGCTTCTATTTATTTTAGAAAGGAAGCTGTACAGAGTTGTGGCCGAGCCTCTTTCTTCATCTTAATAAATGAAGCACTTAGTTCCACTGAACTCTATTCTAGTTTACAAAGGCATTAACTTAAGAAGTGAAACCCAAATTTGCACTTGATCTCTAAAAGTGACTTATGGTCTAGTATCGTGCATAATTGCCATTCAAACTTTCAAAAAGTAGAGCCACTGTGGCACAGTTGTCTTTGGTCGCTGGAATGTACTTTGCTTTTGTCTTGGGTGAGAAGCAGATCCACCTCAAAATCAACGTGGGCCATAGAAGGTTCTAATTCTCATGCCAGAAAGACAGAGGCAGACCCAATAGTGCACCTATTTACTGAGTCATGCCAAGAAACATACCATTGCTCTTAAAGACAGGGAGGGAGATAATTTTTCTTGCAAAGTCTCAAATCTGTGGTAGAGCAAGAAAGGTTTGTAGCAAAATTCTTCCCTGTGGAGGAAGAGCTCTGCCTAATGCCTTAACCAAAATAAAGTAGCGCTGACGTTTGCCAATCGCATTCTCTACCTTAGCCCCCCCCTCAGAAAACTCCTTTAAGGAAAAAAGAAACAAACCCTAGAAAATTGAGAGACACTGGCTCTGAAAAACAAACAAACAAACAAACAAACAAGCAAAAAGCGGAGCTTGCAACAGCGTCTTGAATTGGGAACGCCAGACACGGTTGTCAGCAATTAGTCTCCACACCCTTCTCAATAAACCTGCAGTGACTCTCTTAAAATAGGGAAAGACACGATGAGTGTGACACAGCCCTCTAAGTCACTTCAGTTCTCACAAGTCTCATTGATTGTTTGAAGCCATTTGAGGGCGTATGGGGCATAAACTTCCACGTGCTGATGCTTCCAAGGAGACCTTTCCCGCCGTCTGCAGAGAAGGTTCTGAGCTGGAGTTGGGCTCCTGGTGCACGTGCTCCCTGGGATAGCATCCGCAACTGTGACCGCAACAGTGATGGGGCCATGCACATGATGCCTGGAAACAGGCTTGAAAGGGACCTGGCAGGGTGTCCCCAGGGCCCACCCAGCTTCTGGCTGGAGACATCCAGGAGGGGCAGGTTCTCCTGAGATGCTGGGCAACCATCACGGTTTGTCCAAATAAGGAGTCAAAATCTGCTCATTATCGCTCATTTGGCCTTTTAGAGCATCAGAAAATAAGATTCTTCTACATGTTCCGAAACAGCTTTCCTGGCCCCACCTTCCTTCTTTAAGGTAAATACATCTTTCATGGGAGGTGATTTTTAGACCTCTCCTAGCCTGGTCACCCTCTACGGGACATGCTCTAATTTCCAATGTCCTGTAAAGATATTCAGTTCCCACAACTAAAAACAGAGTTTCAAAGGAACGGTTTGGCTGCCTGTGTGAGGGAAGGCCATTGGTGGCAGGAGTGTCCCCGCACGGCCCCCATGCCTACTTTCTCTTCCAAGACCTCAAGTCTCCAAGAACCCACGGTGCCCTTATCCTCTGTGGCGACCCCTATCTTAGGGACTTGGCTCCGTGGGGAGAAGCAGCTGATCTCCTCACGGGCCTGCCTCAACTACTCTCCCCCACATTTATGGGCAAAAATAAAAACAACCCCAAACTTTTTTTACGTATAAAGCACCAATATATATACAGTGATGAACAGATACATACCTGTAGTATTAAAATTAAAATTCATGGGGGAGTACAGTTAGGAAAAAATGTTATAAAGGCTCTTTAGGGGGATCATAATGAAAAAAAGGTTGAGAAACACTGATGTGACACTAAGGTGTGCAGGGTGCCGTGAAAGGCCCTAGGCCAAAAGGCGGATGACAGTGTGTCCTCCTCTCTAGGAGCTATCAGGACGACCACCCTTCCTGTCTCCCAAACCAAGTGTCTTGTTTCCTTCCTTGTAAATCCCACTAGACACTCACCCCCAGTGGGTTATAGGTGCATCTGCACATTCCGGTGGTCATGGCTTATTTTTTTTTTTTTTTTTTTTTTTTTACATAGTCATCTGGGGGGTCTGAGTGGGAGCACAGTGGCAACACCCAAAGGTGTCAGCACTCACTTTTGGAGACTCCTGTCTCGACCACTTGGAAAAGCAAGTTTTCCTCCCAAGTGCTGCTACCCACAGAAAGTCTGTGGTCCCTCCTTGGAGTTGGGTCGGTGTCCTGCCTCTCTCTGCGTTAGGGCCTGCTAACCAGCCCTAGGTATCTGGCCTAACCCGAGCTGGTGCCACGCTCAGGAAAGTGACACAGAGGAAACAGGCTGCCAAGACGGGTGATCGTCCAAGGTGGATGTATTCCTGATTAGCTGCAGGGGAGACCCTGCAGGAAGGTCTAATCACCGGGGAGCATTTGCACCATCAGAGATTAGCATATTTAAAAGCACACTTTGACTTTTTAAATGAAATAAGGTGCTAATAACTTGGCTACACATGTGGTTTAGCGACAATCACAAGAAACCAACAAGGTAGTGGAAATTGGTAGCTATTGGGGCAGCAGACATGAAGAATGGAAAAGCAGTAACACCTGGAGGTCCTAGAA